ACTAGTGCGACTATCTCGTGGATCTTTCCTTCCTTGTTCAGACAGGAACAGATCCCACGTCATCTCCGAGAGATTTACTATCTCCTCGGCAGATGCAAAGACAAGTTGGAGCACCTCAACTGAGGATGCCTCCGGCATCTTGTCTTCGACGACCTCGAACAACTCGTTCGTAGGTCCGTCCTCTTGGAACGAGACTGATCCAAGGATCACTCGTATGTACGTGCCTTTGATCGTCTTAATACGTCTGGTGCTCGTTCTTCGAGTCGCCACGACTTTTGACCTGGAAGAAGGTGTCGTTGCTGTATTAGCCAACGCACTCCTTCCAACCGCACTAGGCTTATGTCTCTGCGCCGGTTCTTGTGGCGCTTGACTTTCTGTCAGCCCACCATCAAACTGCTACAAGCTCTCGGCTCTGTGAAGGACCACTTTGGACGTATGGCTACCTGTCATCGTCCCATTCACTACACCAGTCTCCTCGAGATGGGTAGGAATTTGTATAACCTGCCTTCCTGTCAGGACACTTTCAACTACTCCAGGCTCCACGAGCTGGGTAGTACCTGGTGCCGATTGACATACCGTCATCGCAACCTCGACTGTGTTGGACACACCGTCAATCTCTCGCAAAAGCACATTCTTTCCGGTGTCCTGCGTAGAGTTAGCGACTGTGCGTGTACGCCAGTCGATCCATGGTTGGTGTTTATCCAACCAAGGCATGCCAAGGATGAGGTCATACGGATTCTCCATACCTAGCACTGTGAACTTCTCTTTACAAGAGAAGTCACTGAAGCTGAAGGCGAGTTCAACTTGAACTCCCTCCGATATTACGAGCGCGCCGTTCGCTAAATGAACGATCGCCTCTTCTCTCTTTACATCCTGGCAAAGCGACTCATAACTTGCCGGACTCTTATCCAGAGCCGCGAGTTTCACAAAGTTTTGTAATGCACCCGAATCCACGAGAAGGGACATCACTTGGTCATAGCCTCGTACCCGAGCACTACAGACCAAAATGGTTGAAGTCCGAACTTTTGGTACCTCAGGGACTATGCTACCCATTTGTTCGATCACTCTGAACTTAGGGGTAGCTTCAGAGTTCGCGACAGTAGGGCATCCCGCCCCTACTGCGCTCCCGTATTTCCCGACTTATCGGGTGTCGAATCTGAACCCGTGCGACTTGCAGGTTCTTCGACCCCCCCTTCGGGTTGAGGACGTTTTGCTGGATGCCTTGGCCCCAACAGCAAGTTTGGCATAGCAGCGAGCCATCATATGGCCGCACTTGCCGCACTTGTAGCATTGCATTGCCTAACTCCATTGGAGTGGCATCCGACCTCTCGGCTGACGGCTTATAATAAGGTGTTGTCGAGGCGCTGTTTGCGGATTGCTCCTCAACCAAGGCAATGTCAATTGCCTCTTACATAGTCGCTGGCACCTTTCTAATAGGGCCTGAAGTGATGGGCCGTGCCAAAGTCCATTTATGAACGTAGACACCTTAATGTGTTCCGGTATCGAACCCACATTAATGGACGCCGACAACGAACGCATCTCCTGCACAAATTCTTGCAGAGAGCGTTTCGCCTGTCGTGCTCCAAAGAAGCGCACCTGAAGTAACACTTCGTTGTTAGGCGGATGATAAATGGCGCGAATCTTTGTTTTAAAGATCGCCCATGATGGAAATGCATCAGCATTTGCTATCAGCGCAGAAAAATATGCCCACTCTGACGCTTTGCCACGCAAGCTGGACATAGCATACGACACCATTCTGGTGTCGTCTTCGATGAGCTGCGCCACTCCACATTGCTCCACTGCTAATATCCAGTGAACAATCGTGTGAGGGCTACTTCCATCGAACTTCGGAGGGCCCATCCGAATGGGCCTCGGTTGAGCAGGCCGGGCAGAGAGCGTCTCAACAGTCCTGTTGAGCGCCTCATTACGTGCCTGCTCACGCAAAAGCTCATCCTGAGTCTTAGTGATGGACTCAGCGGTGGCTTGGCTGTTTACCTCGGACGCGTTTCTACGCTGTCCGAGCCCAAACGCCTCAAATTGCTCAAACTGAGCGACATATTGCTCAGGAGGACAATGCAAGAGCTTGACCAGGGCTTGTTCACCAAGTCCCTGCGCCATATGCTCTGCCAACTCCCAATGATGTTGGAAGAGGTGAGGGGATTCGCTCCAGTCCATATTGAGGAACATCCGTATCCACACGTACGCTCAGAGAGACGGGTCGTGGGAAGGACTACTAGTGCTACCAAGTGTACACGGGCACTTCTACAAAGTTGCCTCGTACTTCTTAGCGCACACCTTCAGCACAAGCGAGGAAGCGGTTAGATCGTTTTACCTTCGCGTGCGAGGGTGGTTGTGTGGTTGGTCGACTGCTGAAGCAGTCGTACTACCAATTGCCTCTCGCTCAAGCGAAAGAGCAGCGAACAACTAACAAGTGTCCTACTTACGTCACGCAGAAGCTTACTCAGCTTCTTGTGCGCAGTAGACAGTGTGTAGTAAATTCAAGACTGAGTTATATTTAAAGAATTAGAATTAAATATAAAACTTAACTACTGATTGGCTATATATGTATATAGATCGGATACGCGACTCTTTAGAAGCGTATTTAGATGCATGAGCTTAAATGTAGATTTAAGCTTGCGGATAACTTCCTCTTGGGACGTCGCGATGCCTAGCTTCAACTAGCGTCATCCCTTCCCATGTGAATCCATCAATGGATATCACATTTACAAGGGTGGATCACGTTTGTGAGAGAGAGAGGGCTCGGAATGCCTATTTACAGGGAGTTAAAACTATGTGCAAGATCGCCTAGACGCACCACTGGACGAAAAGTGTTGGGCCTGCTGCTTACTATACATAACAAAACGAACCGGTACTGGATCTCAACGGGGTCGTCACGGCTCTCGAAGCAGTTCTCTTCGTGAAACCGGCAATCGCGCTCAGCGAACGGGTCGACTGCTTGGGCTAGATCGTGAAGGGTAGAAACTAACGTGGTGCTAGATACCTCAACGCTTTGTCGACGGCATAATACCCAGGGATATTCTGCGGACCGCTACCCTTGCGGGTCACACGCTACGCTGCCTCCCAGAGCGCGCGCAGCGAGGAGAAGGCCTCCCCCCTTTTGCCTTGGCCCCTCTTTGGGGAGGGGGGGTTCCCATCCAAGGAAAAGGGGACCAGTACACTGGCTCTCGAAGGTCTCCGTCTCTGTCCGTTGTTGCCCGAAGGCGCAAATTGGGAAGTGAGGTATGATATTTAATGTAAGGTCTAAAATTTTACATGATTACTTTTGGCCTGTCACTTGGTTGCGATACACAAACGTGATCCACCCTGACTTCCCAATTTGCGCCTTCGGGCAACAACGGACAGAGACGGAGACCTTCGAGAGCCAGTGTACTGGTCCCCTTTTCCTTGGATAGGAACCCCCCCCTCCCCAAAGAGGGGCCAAGGCAAAAGGGGGGAGGCCTTCTCCTCGCTGCGCGCGCTCTGGGAGGCAGCGTAGCGTGTGACCCGCAAGGGTAGCGGTCCGCAGAATATCCCTGGGTATTATGCCGTCGACAAAGCGTTGAGGTATCTAGCACCACGTTAGTTTCTACCCTTCACGATCTAGCCCAAGCAGTCGACCCGTTCGCTGAGCGCGATTGCCGGTTTCACGAAGAGAACTGCTTCGAGAGCCGTGACGACCCCGTTGAGATCCAGTACCGGTTCGTTTTGTTATGTATAGTAAGCAGCAGGCCAGACACTTTTCGTCCAGTGGTACGTCTAGGCAAGTCTGAAAACGATTGTAACCCGGGGTTGATGGGAAAAGCAGAGCAAGTCGACCTCGCGGAAGAGGCCAGCCGTTGGGACTCTATGGTGGTACAAGACTCCCTTCAAAGCATCCACTGTCCCCTGAAAACAGATGCTCCGAGTGCGCGAGCAGCCCAGCCATCGGTCAAGACTGTGCACAGATAGAAACTAACCCCGGACTTGGTCAACGGAACGACTTACGTGTCTGGAGAAGAGTGCCCCCCCCCCCGTGACGTCCGATGTATCGAGCCAGCAGAATGGGAAAGCGAGGAGGGGGACAATCGCGTCATGGTAGAAGACCGAGGCAACCACTTAACCAGAGATCTTGCACATAGTTTTAACTCCCTGTAAATAGACAATCTGAGCCCTCTCTCATTCAATATAATACTTGATGTTTACGTGTAACTAGATACCCTGTTACATAGACCATCGTATGTTTTGTATTTATGAGAACTTAGATTGGATATCTCTCTTTCAGTATCAATCTCACATAAAGTAAGCTTAGTAGACGCGTTTACCGAGATAGCGTGCGCGTACTCTACAGTATCAAGTAGCATGACTTAATTTTCTTCAGGAGATTTGGTCTAGGGCACTTCACACCTGAAAACTATTATCATAAAAACGTATCGTGCAAACACGTGTCAATGCTTAACTACGAAAGCTTGGCGACACAAATTACAGGGATGTCAATATTTTTGGAGGCTACTATAAGCTCGTTCAAGGCTGATCGGACTGAATACCCAGAGAGTTTTCCTTTTTTCTGGCAAAAACCGATTGGGATGCCGACAGTCATGAAAGCCTTATATACTCTAAAGGTTCAGGCGTATACCTGTCTTGGCCAGGTCTTGAATGACATTTTGGCTGGCGGCGCAGAAATAGACGGCAACAGCAACAGAAACGAAGCAGCGACTGTTCTTCGGCGATTACTGCACTTTTCAGAGCGGGTCGACTTTGGCAGCGCTGAAACCACGAGTAAAAAAGAGATCACTTCCTCTCAGCAATATTGTTGCTTTGGCTAAGATTCGTTGACATCTACGTCGCAAATATGTATTCTTGAATCCCTTCAATACAACCATAACCCAAATTTGGTCGTCGTCGAGCCACGCAAGCATCAACTCGAAGCGATGAGAAAGTAACTCGGTAAGCGACAATCCAGTTCAGTAGAATGTCATATCATTTGCCGAAACTAGGTGACTACGAAAAACGGGTTTGCAACGCTAGAGTCTGCTCGACGATCGAAGAGCGTCACGAAGACAGCACGTCATCCTCTCGATTGCCCATTCCGGAGTTTCAGGCGTGACTGGCAGGTACACCAAACTATAGAAGTATCTGTCAATTTTCTGCTACAACTCTGATCCATACAATGTGCGCAACTGACCTCGCCATAATATTCTTAGCGTGTACAGGATCGTGGTCACGTCCAAGAGAGCTACGACAAGATGAAAAAGTTAGCAATAGTTCAGAGGTACAAGGTGAACTGAATGGAGCCCACGATTGTACCTTGGCACGTAAGCCAGCTGCGTAGCACCGGAAGTGACGTCAAAACCCTTTCAAGTACACCAACGTGGTCAGTTGACAATAATTGAAACCCAATTCATCGAAACGTCCCAACGTACATGCTTGTTCATGTAGCAGACAACTTCTTTCGGGGACGGAACACAAACAGGGAGCAACCAATAGTAGTGCTTCTCAGCATGGTGACCCGGAATCTGCAACGGACACATAGATATCACTTTAAACTCAGCCCGAAGCAGCAGTTTTCAGGAACATCAAATTGCATTCGATAAGAGCAACCGTACGAAGACGTTCGGAAGATCCTTAATAGCGGTAGCCAATTGCTCGCTTTTCGATCTAAGATTTTCACGACAAAACCAAATGGCGTCAGTATCATCGCATGGTCTCGAACAATTACAAAGCGTTCCTACTTTCTCAGGCGAATGTACTGTTCGTCAATGCAGGTCAAACGATGATGCATTAGCCCGAGCAAAGCCATCGATGGTCGGTACTGGATAAGAGATACCAATTCTCCGCCACTGAAGCCTCGAATTGCCGACGTGATGACTTTATCGTGATCCGCTATATTGATGCACCAGCAGCAGCGGTTAATCGTACTGAATCAGTAAAACGAATTTGATTGTGATGCAAATGTAAAACACACCTCCAACTGCGCGGCAAGCATGGATGAATAGTCCGTATAAAGCAGGGGTTGAAATGCCATGTAGCACACCGTATTTCATCAATTTCTTGAAGAAAGACACATTTGTGTGGCATGGATATCTGCACAGCAAGACAATTAAACAAGCAACCACTCAATACTGTCTACTTGTATGACACACACACATTTAATTTCAATTTACCTTCTTTCACGACGACGCATCTCTTCCAGCACAACAGGATTCTTCACATGGATGACGGCACCTCCAAATGACGTTGCCGTCTTAATCGTGCCAAAACTGAACATAGACACGTCAGCTCGATTCTCACCGGTGTACTGCATTCCCATGAACGCCTGTGCACAATCTTCCACAACCAACAGATTGTGATTGCGCGCGACTTCAAGTTCTTCATCCAACGGACAACGGGAGCCAAAAATATGAGCAATCACGATCATTTTCGTTTTCTACGCTCACACTCAATCAGCAAGTGAGCCTCATTATCTTACTTATAACTCCTCATCCAATCTTTACTCACATCTGTTACCGCCTCCTTGAGCAATTTCACATTTACTGCCAAAGTCTTTGGGTCCACATCCACAGGCACAGGTACTAGAGCATGATATCGCAGCACGTACATCATGTCGGGAATAGTGATAGCACTGCATAGTACTTCACTACCGACTGGAAGCTTAAGTGTCTGCAAAAGCAGATCAAATGCCGTTCTAAGCAATTCTGAATTAGTACAAATATAAACATCAAGTCATTGTCCGTCATATTTGCATTTAGTCCGTTCATATAATACCGGATCGAGAGCGTGACAATGGTTTGACCACTAGAGTTCCACAACTTTGTAATCTTCTGCTCGTATTCCGAGCGCTGACGCTCCCTCAGCTGCAGACAAGCGGCTAACCCCGCTCCAATGTCTCGATATGTCACGTCCAGTTTCTTGCGGGGAAAAATCGCCCATGGGACGGATGCAGACAATGATTCTAGTTGACCTGATAAAGAGCGTGATGACAGACGAGAATAAGAGTTGACACAAAGTGATTTCAAAGGAAGAATAAAGAGAACGGACCGAAAGGTTTGAGTCGAATTGATGACGACGAGCTATTGTTGGTCATGGTGTTTAATGACTATTTGTTATTTGACGAGATTTCAGCACAAAATTTGCTGTGAAGGGGTACAGCAGTAGAAGAGTTTTTTATGGGTCATTTGTTTTACCCATAAATAAGGTTTACTGCTCTTTTCAGTCATTTTTTGTAGAAGAATGTATTAAGTCTCACAGCGTCTATGGGTACACTAAGGACTTTGCGCAAACATTAAAACTGGCTTCAATTATATATGTCCAGCAGGCGTATGCAGTAACAGCAGCCACCGCAGTATAGTTAGTCGTGGTGGCCGGCCAGCTGCAACTCGTCTCACAGCCATTACGAGGCAAGCAAGAGGAAAGAGGCAGATTGCAGCATTGCAATACCGTGCAATCTCAACAAAGATTCCACAGTACTGTTGCAATGCTGCAATCTGCCTCGTTTCTTTTCTTTCGTCATTGACCGGACTACAACGTCGGCAACTTTGTGCAGAGCAAGTGAGGTATCAAGCAGCATCGCGGCAACAGTAGCAAGTTATCATAAAAAAATCGACAGCATTCTGATCGACGCAAGGAAAGTGACAGCTTGATCAGTGCAAGAACGTTATAATAAAAATCAAATTATATCTGCAACTGGAGATTGTACATGTATCATATACCCTCGCTTCTTCTTCAACTTATCACTCTCCAATCTGCGCAGCAAAAATGGCGAGTATAAACGAGATAGACAGTCATAACAGGCTTTGTTCAGCAACACCCTGTAAGTCTCATCCCACGGCCGACCCTCCTCCTGGCAACGGTACGGAAGACAATGGTGACGATCCAGGACGGCAAGTACCGCCTCCAGTGCCACTTAAACCTCAGATATCTTATGGATCTCCGCAACAGGCCAGGTATAACGACTGGATAGCGTCACACTTGCACCATTTTGATGGTACATTGGACATGGACGGGGACCGAACTCTTTCCAGTCACTCCTCCAAAAATGTCTCCGCCAGATCTGGCTGGACAACAGGCGCATCCCAGATGGGCACCACCGCGGGTACCGAATAGAGCGCGGAAAGTTTTTACAGGGCGACCGACCGGATTCGGGGGTCCACACTTTCTCGGAGATTAATGAGAGAACTGCGGATCGCTTCAAAGCTCCTATTGGTGACGAGGGAAGTATTTTTCATGCAGCCTTAGTAGATGAGATGAAGGCTCACCCCGACGAGAGTCCGCTCAATATCTGGCTTTACTTCATCCAAGTGATGTACACAAGAGCATCGGACCAATTCGCGGTCAACAAGGCTAAATTACCCGTCGAGCAGCAACGTTATCCTCGCTTGACCAGGGTAGAGCGCGTAGCACTACTCAATGTATTTGTACAAGCCTGCATCCTCGGAGCACAAGGGGATGAAGCATGAAATCGAACGCTTTAACCAGTGATTTAGGACCTGTACGTAATGAAATGGGCATTTCTGAAGAAAGTTCGCACACACGTCAGACCGCTCAAGTGGAAAAAAGCTCCAATTTGAAAGTCAGTGGTTAAACCAAAGTGAAACAAGGCACGCCGGCAGCTACCGGGTGCTCTTCTGCTCCATCGCGTCAAACATAACCGCCGTATATGTTCAATCCGGCCAAGTACCATCCTGACGAGATAGTGAAGCTAACAAGAGTATGTGAATCGTCTTACAAAAGGGATTTTGGTCATTAGTTCTGGAATGGAACCGCAGAGGAGTGGAAATTATCGAGGGCTTGGCGGAAGGATCCATCGCGTGCCGTCAACTACCGTCCTTCGTACAGAGTATACTGGATAGTACCGAGCGCATCCGGCTGTTTAACACGATCGAAGCACAGGCGGAGGGAGAGCTAATTATGACGTTACAACGTCATCATCATATACGATTCTGTAGGCAAAGTACTCACAGCAACATAAATTCGATGCTGAAACCGGCTGAGTTGGTACGGGTCAACTTGTCAGCACTTAATGCGCTGATAAGACATACTAAGAAGATTATTTGACAAAGTGACAAAGTCGATTCATTTCGTTTTCTTTACAAGAAAACGGCACGAAAGCATCAGAGTGTGGCTATTTCGTATCAGCGCGGAAGTTATCCAATAGCTAACCCACATGGGCCACACCACGGAACAGTTTGGGATCGACAGCAAGGTCTGAATGGTGATCAAATTGCGGCGGTAGGATGAGTATACGGTCTGTATCCAGAATCTGACCCGATTCTACGACATCGGAAAGCTTATGGCTTACCTCCGAAGTAAAATCCAAACCCCGCTTGAAGTGGAATATATGGATACGTGCACGTCGGCTTCCAGAACGTTGACGATGTGGAAACTTCTTTCCAGCTGGCGGGCTGCCCGATTTTCTACAAGGGGTAGTAAGAATCATATGGCTTTGCGCCATTCAAATCGTCTCTCACCCGAAAGTTCGGCGACGATTACAATGTCTACAATGTGGTAACATTTGTCACCCACTTGCGTTGTAGTTTCATTGACGCCCAACTTCGGGCCATCGTAGCTGCCGAGCAGAACATAGACGATCTGGGCGACACCGCACGGCCCTTCGCGAGTCTAAAAGAACTTGGGGAAACCGTTCGCGCCCGTATTGACGACCACTAACCTGCTTAGGAGGCCCAAAGGACGCTGGGAACTCAGCCGACTGCTTCTTCAACACACTACGGGCTGTCTGACTCCAATCGAGGTCCGCAGCGAAACCCAAAGCCGGTGGATTGAGAAGAGGGAACTTTAACTCCAGACGAGAAGCTTCAACTAGAACCCAAGGAACCACAGCAGTGCAATACTCACAGAACTCAAAAGGGAAAGAGTTCCTAAGGGGGGGCGTGCAGAGAAATCCAGACAAGCAGTGGAAAGGGCACCAAATCGGAAAATTTCAGTGGAAAATTGGCGAAATCCCACAATCAACTCCCCGGACGGACCAAACACCCGCCGTGCCGAGTAGTAAGAGCGTTTCTGATAGAGTATCCGGAACCAATGTCACTCAGGCGCAACCGATCCTATCTCCATCTGAATAGAAACTTCGTATGGAAGGTATGGCGAGGGGTCATCCTCAAGTACACAAACATCTGCTGATTGGTCGTCAGAGAAATTCTCGGAAAAAAATCGAAGTTGGTGCAGTCCAGTACCTCCAGAGATGGGTTCACTTGGTCTCATGCTAACAGCAGTGCCTCAGACTTTTGCAGCAGCAATTGAAAGCCTGGTACTGCGGGAGGGAGTGACACCGGCTTCCGGTAATTGTCTGGCCATGGCAGTAGTGCAAGGAGCAACAGGGGCAGACCTCGCCACACCAACTTTGAAGCCTAGACAGCTGACGGCAACCCTTAAGCTAGGGGTTAAGGAGTTCGAGCTTTCAAATTTAAAGTACCGCATAATGCATGACATTCGGGTGCAGATTTTACAAAATGTTAACAGTGCTTGGCCTACCATGACGGGGAGAGATCCACTTAGTCAACTCAAATGGCTTCTTGAGGACCACGCATCCAGTCCTTTGGAACGAGACGCGGTCACCGCAGAGAATACGTGGGGTGGGAATGACATCATCGGACTTGCAGCAATGTTCTCACGTCGCAAAATTTACGTGCTCGAGTTTGCGGATACGCGCGCCAAATCCTGGATTTGAAAGCATTTTGGATCAGGGTTGACATTCATCAAAGCTAAAAGTATCGCATCGTACACCGAGAGAACGTTGGAGATTTTAGACTGCCTCGATGCTATCCGGGCGGATCATCAGCTCCTCCAATTTTTCTTTGGTTGTGGTGTCGGCATTCCTAGGCTACCGTTCCCCGATTAAAACCATTAAGGAATTAGTAGTAACTCGCGACGCTATTAAGGACGGGGTAACGATTCAGCAGGATGAAAATGACCCAATGGATCTCATTACCACAACTGGGGACCTCTACTGATTTCGTGAAAACCCAAAGCAGCTCGCGCTAACAGAAAGATATACGGACAGCGCCCTGGATACCATTGATATCAACAATTCCGACATATACCTTACACAGGGCGCCTACGATACACCGCCTCCCGAATTCGCGCCGCTGAAAGTCAATTGCGTAAGCGCTCCCATTTACCTGCTCCTGACGAACGTGTTTAGGACGGGAAGGCCTTTAAAAACATCCACACCAGAGCTCTGCTGAAAAAAGGAAAGCCGGAATAGTACGCTCTTGTTCGATATCTCAATTTGAAACGTTTCCATGGGCGAATCCACGCGGTATTGTGAGGTGGAATGGAATTGAGGCAGCTTCCGGTGGCCAACAGCGGCTAGCGTTCAGTGCCTTTGGTGGAAAGCGAAACGGCTATCTGGGTGGCTGCGGCTGCGGCAGAACCGCAAGAATTAGTACATCAAATCCAATCTTTTTAGTGTAACGGGCTAAAAGCTACACGGTTCGTTAAGTATCGAATACTTAACGGGCAGTCCTAAATGGGTACGAGGTACCTTAGGCCTGCCACTTGGGTGCGGCATATCAATATGACCCACCCTCGTGAATGTGATATCCATGGGTGGATTTACATCCAACGGGATGACGCCAGTTGGGACTAGGCGTCATGGTGACGCTTCAAACAGACGTCATTAGCGAGCTTAAATACTCTCGTAAGGATACGCTTCTAATGAGACGCATTCAATCTTTGCATAATTAGCCAGTCAGTAGTAAAAAAAATTACTTAGTTAAAATCCATTAAATATAAGTTAGTCTTGAATTTACTAGTTACCGCCCACTGCGCACGAGAAGCTTCTTGAGCTTCTGCGTGATGTAAGTGAGTTACCTCTTTGTTATTCGTTGCGCGGACCGCTCTATGCGGCCGGCAACAGTTTGGTTCGGCGCTTTAAGCGGCCGGCCAACACCACCACCACCGCACGCGGAGGTAAGAAGGTATAACCGCTTCCTCGCGCTGCTTGAAGGTGTGCCTGCGTATTACGTAGCAGTTTCTTTACGAAGTGCCCGTCTACAACTTCGATCGTGACTGGAGAAGAATTTGGGGACTATCCACAGAAGATCCGCCGTCACCTCTTTCTTACTG